AATTCTAAAATTAAATACTCAAAAATAATTAATTGAGAATAAATAATGTGATTATTTAATTTTGAATTTGAACACATCTAGATTTATCCATTTAAACTTATTTGATAAGTTGTTCAATTTAGAATTCAAATTAATTTAAGTTTGACTTAAATTCGAATTTGAATTTAAATTAAAATTGAACTACAGGATAAAAGATGATTTCTCTTCCTTCCCTATCTGCTAGTTGGCGCCACACACAAGGTGAAACCCTAAGGGTGTGGCCGGCCACCTTAAAGATAAGGGGAAGGGATTTTCTGTTCAAAATTCAAAAATTAGAGATAAGGATTTGATTCTGTTTTAAAGTTTGACTTATACTCTTTAAATATGAGAATGATAGAAAATTGTGGGGACAATTTTTGAAGAATTTTTTCTGCCCTAATACAGTGTGGCCGAATTTCTCATTAGCAAAAGAGAGAGAAAATATTTTTCTCCAAAAATTTCACATCATGCATGCGTTGGTGTTTGTGGAAATTTGAGTGTTTAAGAAACCTATTTTTGTCTCACGTGTGCCCACACACACGTCTACGTAGAATCAATGAATTGACGTGGAAGACTTTGGTATTCTAAACACAAACTTGGAATAAGGATTATTCGTGGTCAAAGAATTCAAGTTATCATCCGAGTCGGCTTCCAGGCATTTTTCCGGATTGAATTCTTGATGTAAATTAATGTGATTAATTTATTCGTGCATAAATTAATATAATCTATAGAGTATCTCAAAAGTTTTATGAAAATTTTTATTATACACGATCCGCCTTTCCCCACGCTTCCGCACCCGAATTCGATTCGGGAACCAGCAATGCCTCCATAAAAAAAGTTCTTAAACCTGTCAAGAGCCCCAATGGGCATCCATGAGGCCACCCCTTCCAAGGAGGAGAGGCCTCTATGAGGAAGGTTCTTAAACCTGCATCCATGAGGCCAACCCCTCCAAGGAGGAGAGGCATCCATGAATAAGGTTTTTAAACCTGCCAAGAGCCCCAAGGGGCCTCCAGCCAAGAGCCCCAAGAGGCATCCACGAGGCCGACCCCTCCAAGGAAGAGAGGTCTGCATAAAGAAGGTTCTTAAACCTACCAAAAGACCCAAGGGGCATCCACGAGGCCGACCCCTCCAAGGAGGAGAGGCCTCCATGAAGAAGGTTCCTAAACTTGCATCCATGAGGCCGAGCCCTCCAAGGAGGAGAGGCCTCCATGAAGAAGGTTCTTAAACCTACCAAGAGCCCCAAGGGGCATCCACGAGGCCGGCCCCTCCAAGGAGGAAAGGCCTCCATGAAGAATGTTCTTAAACGTGCTAAGAGCCCCAAGGGGCATCCATAAGACCGCCCGCTCCAAGGAGGAGAGGCTTCCATGAAGAAGGTTTTTAAACCTGCCAAGAGCCCCAAGGGGCATCCACGAGGCCGACCCCTCCAAAGAGGAGAAGCCTCCATGAAGAAGGTTCTTAAACCTGCAAAGGGCCCCAAGGGGCATCCACAAGGCCGACCCCTCCAAGGAGGAGAGGCCTCCATAAAGAAGGTTCTTAAACCTACCAAGAGCCCCAATGGGCATCTACGAGGCCGACCCCTCCAAGGAAGAGAGGCCTGCATGCAAAAGGTTCTTAAACCTGCCAAGAGCCTCAGGGAGCATCCAGCCAAGAGCCCCAGGGGGCATCCAGCCAAGAGCCCCAAGGGGCATCCACGAGGCCGACCCCTCCAAGGAGGAAAGGCCTCCATAAAAAAGGT